GGGGGCTGCGGCATCCCGGGCTGCGGGCGGCCCGGGCGAGGCAGGGGATGATGCAATTCCGCGCCGTGACACCGTGTTGCTCAGCGCCCCGCGAAGTCGTAAGGAAATGCCTTGTTTCGTTTTCCGAGCAGATAAGGGGGTGACACAGTACCCTAATTCAGACGCCCTGCCTTGCCGTAAGGGCAGGTGGCTCCTGTGGGAGAGAGGGGCCTGGGTCCTGCTGTGCTTCTGGAGAGGAGGTGCTGGAAAACGTGCGTCTGGCTTTCCCGACTCGAAAGAAGCTGCTAGAATCCATTTGTGCGTTCACATAACAGGAGCTGCTGGTGCAAGGGGTGCTTCCCTTGTTACGGTACTTTCTGGCTTGTTTAGAGCCCTAATGCAGCACCTAATTGGATGGTTCTGTCTGTGGCTTTGTGATACAGAATAGCAGTAAAGCCTAGACCGACACGTGGAGAATGTTCTGCTGGGGATGAAATAGTGTGTGGTCTTGTGCACAGCAGCTGACACGGTTGGTAGACAACAATAGGGTATTTGTTAGCTGTAACTTGTGTACCCAGATCTCGAAAAATATCCTCTGTGAACTTAGTGAGCTTTTCATTTCAGGGCAAATTCTGTTGGGCGGGCTTGTGTTTTGAACTTGGAATTTGGTTGAAGTGTCTGTTTAATCTGATTGTGAGGAGCCTGCAAGTGATGCTGTATGGCGTCCAAGTTCGTCTGTCCTCTGCTGTATATGCATCCAGGCAGCCTGTGCTCTGCTATAGTCAGTTTACTGGATCAATGCAGGGAAATGAAGTGTGGCAGACTTGCCTGTTGGATGTCTAAGATGTTGACATTGAATTTTTCTTGAACAAAAATACCTGTGAATGATGAAACTCCTCAAAGTAAAGATTAATAAAATGTCTTATTCAGGTTGTGGACATGGAACAGTGTGTGAATTCAACCTGAAATTCTCATTCACATTTCTCCCCCTTCTTTGTTTATGGAGGTACAAAAGAAGTGAACTTTTTGAGTAAGGCTTTAATTTTTTTAGGTAGGCTGGAACAGCCTATGTAAAAAAAAATGGAGAGGCAGTAAACCTGGCTTTGAAGAAAGAACCTGCTTTAACTTCAAGTGTACTCTGCTTCTACCATCCTCCCAGGTATAAGCATCAAAAGTATGCCATAATAAAAGCACTGCTTGGTTGCTCAGCTACAGAGTATGGAGTCAACAGTCATGCTGACAACAAGATTTTAACATTGGCAGCACCCAGAGTATTCAAGTACAATGCAGCTGGGATTTCTGGATTAATTCTGTTTTTCAGTGAAGCAGATTTGTATTCTTCTGTGATACAAAGGAAAACTCCTACCTGCAAAAACTTGCGTGAGTGACAGCTGTAAAACAATGTGAAGATGATGTCTGGCTAGATGTGTTCCCTTTCCTAATGCATATTCAGAAACTGACTAGTTTCTGAAGAATTAATACTTTTAGGGTGCTTTGCTTTCCTGGACCTGCTGAAATCCCCTGCTAGTGAGCACCAGGGGCAGCCCTTGAGTTGGTCTAAGTGTGTGGGTCTTGAGATGGGTGACTAATGTAACTTGCAATGGGTTTCGCTGTGGGACATAACACCTTTTATAGCAGAAGCTGCTGAGGCATATATGCTGTAGAAAACTTGATGTTGCCAAAGCTTCCTCTTCACGCTAGCTGTCCCTCTATTATTTGTGTTAAAGCAAATATTGGAGACTTGCAGCTGCAGATTATAGTTTTAGCAGTGCTGTCTGCTGGGGAGGTCAGGAAATGAGCTTTCAGTCTATTTATGCTAGTTGCTGTATTAAAAAAATAAAACTACGTAGTAACCATTGGCAGTAAGGTGATGACTAAGTTAATCCAAGTTCAAGGGTGACTTGATACGTGTTGGAAATCATGTTTACAACGAAGGTGCACACCATCTGGCAGATTTGATTAAAGCTATCTTATCTATTGCTGAGAGCAGTAGACTCCCTTCAGCACTGTGGTCAGTAGCCTCTATTTCGAGGTATTACCTGGCCCTGGGAATCCTTGCTGCACTAGAGGCTTTCATTACTAGACCCTGTTCTCTTACTTGTCCCTCGGTAACAGAGGCCTGCTGCCAGCGTATCTGTTAAATGCAGCATGTGCTTTTCTGCTGGAGGACAATCCAAGCAAAATGAGGTCTCATGTGTGCTCAGGGGGGTTGTAGTTAAGTTTTTTTAAAAAAAAGCAAACACAAAACCAGCTGGTCAGAGGTTTCCCCCAGTTAGGTGCTATGAAGAAAATAATTAGCAAAGTAACAGTATCCTCTAGTACTGTGGCTACATAGTCTTGTGGTGTGAGGTTCCCCCTCTGTTACAAATATTATTTTTTATATGGGAGCTTGTTACTTCACAGGTAACACTAAAGACAACTAGAGAAGTAAATTGGACAAGTTGAGTAGCTTGTTGTGCCCCCACTGTCTTCCTTCCTCCAGGGAAATTAAGCTGTCATGGAAAATTTTGAACTTCTCCCTAGTTCAGTATTTTTTAACTTGGAAGAGTAAGCACCTTTGGACCTTGCATTCTCTTTTCACTCTCCCACAGCAATTTTAGCTGATGCTAGAGATGACTTCCAGGGTGACACTGACTGTAGTCAGGACCAGGTCTCCAGTGGTCTGTGGTATGTCACCAACTGTAGGTATCATGCCCTCCCACTTCCCCTTGTTCTGTGTGATGACCCGTCTGAGGTGTGTGGCCATATGATAGACACATCCCAGGACTGGACTTCGTTTGCAGAATATAGTAATTATGCAGCTGCATAGAAGACTTAAGGGTGAGAAGAGGATGGTCTAACTGGCAGGTGTAGGAGGTGGAATTAGTGAAGAGCTGGTGGTGTTACAAAGCAGAGGTGTGAGAAGGACTGAGGAATTTGTGGTATAAGTAGTTTCAGGGAGCGGTAAGCACAGGTTGCTATGTACAGGGACATGGAACTTTGTTGGCAGGAGTGGGGCACTTCTGCAACTGGAGTGTGGGAATGTGTACTACCAGTGCGTGAGTGGGAGAATGTGGAGACACAGGAGTTTTCCACACTGAGAGGAGGTTAGCTACTGAACTTGCAGCACAGTAGATGCGGAATATCCAAGATGCAGGGATGGAAGAACTCAACACGGGGAGGCTGTGCTTCTGTAGATGGCTGCACTGGGAGGGAAAACGTCTTATCAACAAGGAGGGAGATGTAATGCTGGGTGTCTTTAAAGTTATGTGGAAGTCTTTGTAAGTTTATGCATGAGAATGCTGGTGCAAGACTGTCTGCTCTGTTGTTAAATATACTCAATGACTAGTTTTACTGTGTGCAGTCTCAGCTCCTCACCTGCATGGCATTCTTTAATGGGAGGGCAATAATTTACTAGAATCAGGTCTCAATATACTGTTGCTGGTTGCAGAGGCTGGCATTGGTTAACCCCTCCACTGGAAAGCCAACATTTGGCAGTAACCATACTGCTGTCATTTAGCAGTTGCTGACAGAACTGTGATGCTTTGGTCTGTTAAGCTGGGAAGAACAAAGCAGCCATCTTCTGTATGCGTAATCTGAATTGAAATTTATATTAACAGCTCTCCTGAGGCTTGCATTGTCTGGAGAGTGAAGTTGAGGAATGTTGAAGTGGCTTGTACTTGCTTTGGAAAAGAAACTGTCAGGAAGTAGCTGATTAGCATGTTCTGCTTCTGCCTGAGACACTTGTTTGTTGCTAGTGTACATGTATTTAATGCTTTTAATGTCTTTCATTTCTACTAAAAGATTTGCTTTTTGACCAGCAGACATGGTTAAAGGCATGTAAGGAGTTCTGTATTCCAAAGAACATTGTTCAAAAATGACTGCTGTGACTAAGTGCAAGAAACAGACTTGACACTCTGAAATCCTGGGTTTTACTTGCGCAAAGTCTGTATGTGTAGTGTTGCTTTTGGTAGACATGCGCCATCTCCATTCACTTGGCAAAGCGAGTAAAGTAACTGTTCTATGAAACAATGCTGTAGTGTAATGCTTGCAACATCATTTTGATGTTGGCCATTGACTGGAAGTGGCATTGAACTGGAGGAGTGTATGAAGGGTTGTGTCCCTCCCAAATTCTGCAGAGGAAAGTCTGTCTCAGAATAAAATGGAAGTTTTCCTGCCAAGGCAGAAACGAGTAGATTATTAAAAACTATAAGGATCACATTCAGGGGGTAAGACTAAACGGAGCTGCCAGGGCTGAGGATTGTAGGTGAGATTAATTTCTAGCCAATGTTTCTGCAGTTGAGTGAGTTGAGGTGGCTGAGCATTGTGGCCTTTTCTAATTGAATTGTTGTACAACCCTGGCTGGTGCTAGCACTGATGGAAGTGATTCACACTGAAGCACTTAACTGGTACAAATACCCCAGCTAGTTAAAGTGTTTATATAGCTACCAGAATGGTTAGTGTGTTAAGGTTGTGAGAGAAAGCTAGCTTTGGCATTAGTCTAAATCCTTTTGGAAAGGACAAAATTTGGCTATAACTGCAAACTTCACACTTGATTAATTCACAAGGTGAGATTGTGGGAGGTGTCCCTGCCCATTCAGGGGGCTTAGATCTGGATGATCTCTAAGGTCCCTTCCAACTCAAACCATTCTGTGATTCTGTGGAAATCATTGTGTTCAATTATATTTTTTTTGTAGAGTGAATTTGAGGCAGAACTGAAGTCTGCTGGTGAGAAGCTTATAGTAGTTGATTTTTCTGCTACATGGTGTGGGCCATGCAAAATGATCAAGCCCTTCTTCCACGTAAGTAGCCTTTCTCGTTTTATTGGCAACTGTGATAAAGTATATACAAATGTTTTTGTGTTGATGGATGATAAGACACAGGGAACTTCCTTTGCCACATGTCATTTCCAGCATTTTTCTGGAATGCTTTAAGGTAACAAGGCAGGTTTCACTGTGGAGGTAGGGATGTGGGCAGGGCAGGATGGGTAGCAGCACCAAACTTAAAAATTGTATTAATAAGTCTTTTAAAATATAGCTTTCTGTGGATACTAACTGCATGGTTTCTTACTTTGTTCTAGAGTTTGGTTGAGAAGTATGGTGATGTGGTGTTCATCGAAATTGATGTGGATGATGCCCAGGTATGGTCCAGAGTCATGCTAAGAGGGCAGCAAATGAGTAATACAAGTGACAGTGAAGAACTCTTTTTTAAAAAGTCCTTGCAGATACTGAAACAAAATGAGAGATTACTTCAACTTTGAGAAGGAGAAATAGGGGTTTAGCAGTTAGCCTGGGAAGTATGAAATTTTAGAGGACACCTTAACAGAGCAAACTGCTGTGGTTATCTGCACACTTGAAGCCTTATGAAGTGTCAGATAACTTGGGAACAGTGACTTTGTGTTGGCAGGGAGTGTTAGTCTGAGGCCTATGCTGCTCTGATACAGTCTTCCCTAAAACTAATGGCTGAACTGGCTGATGATCAGTCTGGTCTCTACACTGCTCTTGGCACTATTTCCTCTTTCATGACTTGAATTAAGTGCAATGAAGTGTCTTGTGTAGCAGGTCCAGCATGTCAAATAGGTACTTGAACAATGTCAGGTTGAAACACAGGATTTGTCACAGAGCTCTTAAGCCTTACAAATAGTCATCTGTTTCAATGCAGAGGTCTGTTTTTTCCAGAGTACCTGTGTAGTAAATGTCTTTGCTATTGCAGTAAATGAATGCTGAAGGGAGGATCTTTCAGGCTTGCTTCAGGGATATGTTAACACTGAACTGTTTTTGCTAGTGATGAACTACCTGAAGTACCTTTGCAGTACCTTTGAGCAGTTGTGGCTTGCCCTATCACCTAAACAAAAGGCAACCAGTAGGTTCTGAATTTACCATCATTCAGACATGCACAGCTGGAGATTGTTTTCTGTCTTTTCCAGGATGTTGCTAGCCACTGTGATGTGAAGTGCATGCCAACGTTCCAGTTCTACAAGAATGGAAAAAAGGTAGGCTCTGCTCCTTTGGAACTGGTGCAGTCAAGCTAAACCCTTGAAGTTTTGGAATGTTCAACTCCATAGCCTGCTTTTCCTTGATAATGTGTCTGGGCCATCACTGACATCGAGACACTCCTGAGAGAAAGCAAGTTCATCTTAGTGTCTGATGAAGCAAACCCTGTTTACAGGTAGTGAACTGAGTTAGGGTCACATGTCAGACTTACAAGCAGAGCTTCATAAGTGATTAATGAGGTTAGATGTCTGGGTTAGGACTGCCAGTCTGTCTGCATAGCACCCTGCGTTTTACTGGTTTTGGTTAGTATTTGTTCTCTGGATGCAGCTCATGTTCAAGGAGAGACATTCCTATATATCCCTATGGAGTCTCACCCAAACAGAAGTGTCTAATGTGCTTGAATGTACAGACAATAGAAACAACTGCTTGGATGCCTTTACAGAAAGTCTGTGTAACCTGTGGAAGTTCCAACTTGGAGGACTTAACAGACCTCTTGTGGCTGCTCTGCCCAGAGATGCATGAGGGGTTGTGGTCCACAGTCTGACAGCATAGTGGTCTGCCTGTGTGAGGTAGTTGTGAATGGTTGTCTACCTGAACTGAAAAACTGCTGAGCTAAATGTTATCTTGGGTTTTCAGTTTGCACAGTAGGCTTTTCTAAAGTAAAACAATGCCTGAATGGAAGTTTCATGGCTTAAGGCAATGGAATTGCACCTGAAGAGTGTCAGATGTTGGGTGACCATTAGTTCACATCAATATGGGGACAAATGATAACAACCTGGGGAGTTTTTTCAGGATAAATTTCCATAGCTTTATATTATAACTGTAAGAATTGTGATTATGATGTGACAGTGTGTGAAGATGCTATGCTTAACTCTGGGTGGTTTTCTGTTTTGGGTTACCTTGACAGATCTCTGGATGCAAAAGTATCAAGCAAGCAGTTTTATGGCCTTTAATGTGGTCTGTCCTGTACCTTGCAGAACCCCTGTTTTTGAGACATGAATGTTTCCTTTGTGTTTCTGTTGTGCAAGTTACAGGAAGTACAATTCTCACAGGAGAAGCCAGGCTCAGGGACAGGTCATTTGGAGCAACCCTTCCAGAATTTTATTAGTAAGGGTCCTGAGCATCCCAAGGTAACTTTGAGGAACCTTTGCTCTGCAATGACCTCCAGAGTGTCTTCAAACCTGTATTTGAGTCTTAACATTGGTTCAGGATCAGTTATTTTCCTTTGTTTTTCATGTAGAAGACTCCAGGAAGGGTATTCTGGAGGTGATTCTTGACAGACTCTTGTCCCGTTCCCACTGTTTTGGGTGTGAAAAAACTTCAGCTGTAACAGCATTGAATAGTTGTATGTGTCTGGATGGTATGCAGCTAATGTTATGAAGCACTGAATGGAAAAGTTCTAAAGATTGTCTCTCTTTACAGGTGCAGGAATTCTCTGGGGCAAATAAAGAGAAGCTGGAAGAGACAATTAAAAGTCTAGTCTAATCTCCAGCTGTGGAGACATTGAAGCGTCACTGCTTCGGCAACATTATAGCCCGCAACTTTTCTACTTAAAAATTAATCTAAACAAGTTAGCTAGTTTAAGTAGTGGAAACTATCCTCTTAATCCATGTAAATGAGTACAATAAAATGTGAATTCTTCACTTTGGATGTTGCCCTGTGTTTGAATGAAAATATGAGTGATGCTATGGTTTCTATTTTTGTTATGTTGAAGTTCTGTCTAGATGTCAACATTCTTGTCAAATACAACCTGATCTATTACTGGTTTACTGCTGAGGGTGGAAAAATGTTGTGTGATAGCAATGGCAGTTGCTTTAGAAGTCTACTGCTACCTTACTTGGGTACTATATTCTAAGGAGTGGCAGTCTAGCTTGCAGATACAGAAAGTTTAGGAGCTGCAGAAAAGTGTGGTTACTGGGTGGGATAGACTCTTTCATTATCTCTTTTTAGCTGAAGATGCTTTTAAAATTTTGCAAGCTTGATTTTGGACTTCAAAGCTAAGATTTGGCTGTGTATTGAAAATCAGAACATATTACCCAATCCTGCTATGGAAGTGTAAATTAAGACTTGGAGCTGCTGCCTTTTTGTCTTTTCAGTTTTGCCTTTCTATTGTTGTACTTTCTGGTCCTATTAGTACCAAAGTATGTTTTGAGTTGAGTTGGGCTGCTTTGTTACAAGGAAACAGTCTGGAACTAATGACTGAGGAGGTAAAATTTGTCTTGAGCCCAGGACACTTTGTGCTGGACAGCAAGTGACTGCAGTTCTCCAAACCTGCATCAGGTTGTCTAGATTAATGCTGACCTGCCAGCCTCTGTATACTATTCAACTACTCTTCCCAGAGTTACCAATAACTGCTGTGTTTTTCCACCATATCAAAATGGCTTTCTTGCTGGCTTGCATGTTGTCCTGGATAAGAATTCAGCAAATAAGGAAGCAGACCTGTAGCTAGCAGCTATGCCTAATGTTGTGGTTAGGGCTAGGTTAGCTGTGCTGCTCATTGAGTATCACTGATGAAAAACCAACTGCTAGTGCAGACGGTGTGGAATGAGTGGTCTCTTGTCTTTGTGGTAGGGAGCTCATGTGTGACTCAGCCTGACACTCATATCACAAGCATGCATGAATTTTTTGGCTCTTGGCAACTGGAGGCCTTCAACAGCTTACTGCATGTGTTCCCTATTGGAAACAAGATTCTTCTAGTCTGAGAAGTGACCACACCCTTCAGCTGAGAGTGAGTCATCAGTGATCTTGGAAGTAAAATCTGAGTTGTGATTATGCAATGAGAGGGACATGCAAAGTGTTTCCTCTTCAGTTCTGGCTAATTCACCAAGAGGAGTGTGTTACATGGACTTGACACAGGTGAGTGGCAAACCACTACCCCAAGTGGTGCTATGGACAGGTTTGTGGGGAGAGAATAAAATGAAGCTGGAGCAAGAATGCATCATTTACATCACTATCTGCAAACAACCATTGCTTTTGAAAGTAGTTCCTGGGTGGCTTAGTGTATTTCCTCTGGGCAGTTGCTGGGAGCAGGAAAGGTTTAAAACATTACTAATCACAGAAAGATCTTGTAGTCCAAACCCCTTGCTAGAGCAGGATCACTTGGAGTAGATCACAGAGGAACATATCCAGATGAGCAGCCAGTGCTCTGTTACTTTCACAGTAAGGAAGCTTCTCCTTATGTTTAGGTTGGATGTCCTGTGATCCAGTTCATGACCATTGCCCCTTGTTCTGTCACTGGACACCACTGACAAGAGTCTGGTCTCATCCTGCTGACACCTGTCCTGTAAATCTAGAAATGTTTGAGATCTCCCCTCAGTCTCCTCCAGGCTGAATAGACCAAACTCTTGTCAGGCTTTCATCATATGGTAGATGCTTCAGTCCCATAATCATCTTATTGGCTTTGCACTGGACTCTCCAGTAGTTGGTTTTTCTTGGTGAACTGCAGAACCCAGAATTTATTGCAGTATATTCCAGATGCGGACTTGCCAGAGTGGAGTAGAAGGGGAGGATAACTTTTCTTGGCCTACTAGCCACAGTCTTCTTAATGCACCCCAGGATGCCATTGGCCTTTTTGGCCACGAGAGCATATTTTTCCTTCATGGCCAGCCTGTTGTCCACCAGGACCCTGAGGTCTTTTTCCCCAGAGCTGCTCTCCAGCAGGTCAGCCCCCAACCTGTACTGATCCATGGGATTGTTCCTCCCCAGATGCACTTGCCCATGTTGAATTTCATTAAGTTTTTCCCTGCTCAGTTCTTCAGCCTGTCCATGTCATGCTGGATGGCAGCACAGCCCTGTGGTGTGTCAGCCACCCCTCCCACTTTGGTTCATCAGTGAACTTGCTAATGGTCCACTCTATTCCTTTGTCCAGGCCATTGATGAATGTATGGAATAGGACTGAATCCAATACCAACCCCTAGGGAACTTCACTAGTCACAGCTTCCAGCTAGACTCTGCCCCACTTACCACAGCTCTCTGGGCTCTGTCCTTCTGCCAGTTCCCAATTCACCTCACTGTCCAATCATCCAATCCATGCTCAAGTTAGGTTGTGAGGCTGCTGTGGAAGACAATGTTGAAAGCCTTGCAGCTTTGGTGAAAAGTCCAGGTAAAGTTCAGGAGGAGCCCCTAGCATCCATCTTCATGTTTAAGAAATAAAGGAAGCAACTAACTAACATTTCTTCTGAGGTGAGACCAGACCAGGTTGTTACCTGCTACACCAGGGGAAAGGTGCAGTTAGTGGGAAACGCAACCTGTGTTGAGTTTGACTTAAGGCTCCTTTTCCTTTAATAAGATGTCACTCTGCAACAGCCTGGAAAGATCCAGGTGACAAAGAAGTGATTGGAAATTCAAGATAGGCTTGGATAAGATTGGAAGGCTGGAGTAATTCCTGCAGCGAATTGGGGGTGCAAATTAGTTCTTACAAGTGCAATGAGTCTTCATCTACCAGTGCTGCAGTATCTTCCCACTCATGGCACGGCTCTTTGAGGAATATGCAGTGAGGATTTGTGTGTTCAGTACTATTTCCCTTTAAAGGAACCAGCAAACGTATTCTCTTCAAATACACAGTTATGCCAGAATGTGTTTTGAAGTTGGTCCTTGTCATTACAGGTGATTGAAAGCACAACCTGATGGTTATACTTTGTTCTGGTTTGAACCAGGACAGAACCAATTCTCTTTTTAGTAATTTTACTTCCCAGTTAAATCTCTTCTAAGCAACTGCACTTCCTGAGCTGTAAGCAACAGCTTACAGCTACTGGGAGAGAACCCCAGTTCAGGAAGGGAAGTGTACTGTCTTCCAACAGCAAGAACATGGGAGTTTCAGCTTTTGAGATAGAATAGATATAGCAAATAAACCTTTTGCCCTGAACAGAATGGGTGTGAGCAGCCTTGCTAAAACCCTGGGCTGTATGGCCTGGCTCATATGTATTAAGCAATACCCTGGACAACTCAGTGGGTCATTTTTTTTGCCTTGCTTGTTTTTCATGTGATGGAATGAGGCCAGAATTACCATATGCCAGACACCAGTGTTGCTCTAACTCAACTCTGATCTGCTCTTTGCATGACCAGAACCAACCGCTTTGATCCAGTGATCTGAAAAGATGCCATTAAGAGGGAGGTGGTAGATGGCCAACTAACTTGAATGTTTGGAATAAACTTGATGTACATGGCAGAGAAGAAGCATCTAAAGGTTTCTTCTGGGAATAAGGGCTCCAGGAAGAAGTTCTCCCCTCGGGTAGTGACTGCAGTCTGTTTCATTTGGCTGTGAAATAGCTGGGATATGTGCCTTGCTGTCAAACCAGCAGAGCAAGATGTTTTTGTCTGCAAGCCTGTTATATTGCTTTCTTTCTTGTACTGGGCTGGCCAAGAGAAAGAAAAGTACTTCCTTGAACACAGCAATTGGAACACATGACTGGAATAACTAGGCTTAATGAGAGAATGCTCATTTTCAAGACAGGGTAGGCCGAGGGGTCACAGTGCGTAGACCCCCCCTAGATTATTCCAGTAAGAGTACTTGTAATTATTCAACTGTTTAAATTTTTACTGTTCATTCAGCTGGATCTAGCAAGGACAACAAATTTCTGTTTTTTTACCAATGCCAGCAAATAATGGCATAGCAGCTCCTCTGAACTGTTCTCCATGAACATTCAACTTCCAGCCATCCAAGCAGTTGGTTTGAGGAACATGCTGGTGAAATCCTAGCTGGATTAACTCTTGTGGTGCTGGTCCCTGGCCCTTGGAGAGTGGTGGGAGATACTGTCTAGTAGGCTGACCTTGGCTGACTGCCAGCCCCTCTTATCACTCCCCCTCCTCAGCAGGAGGGGGATAAGTGACAGAAAAGCTCATGGGTCAGGAGAAAGGGAGATCACTCTGCAGTTACAGGCGCAGGCAAAACAGACTCAACTTGGGCTAATTAATTTATTGCAATTAAAGAAATAAGAATTTAAGAAATTAAGAAATAAGAGCAAATCTATAAACACTTTCCCCAATCTATCCCTTCTTTCCAGGCTCAGTTTCACTGCCAACTCTTCCACCTTCCCACCTCTGAGTAGTGAAGGGGAATAGGGTTTGTGATCAGTTCATCACATGTTGCCTCTACTGCTCCTTCCTCCTCATACTCTTCCCCTTGTTCCAGTGTGGGGTCCATGGGGCACAGACCTTTTGGAATGGACTGTTCCAGTGTAAGTCCCCCATGGGCCACAGGTCCTGCCAGAAAACCTGTTCCAGCATGGGCTGCCCTCTACAGGTCAAAGTTCTGCCATGACCCTGCCCCTCTGTGGGCTGTTCATGGGCTGCAGCTTCTTTGGGCACCTCCACCTGCTCTGGTGTGGGGTCCTCGATGGGCTACTGGCAGATACCTGCTCCACACTTAACCTCCATGGGTTGCAGGGGGACAACTTACTTCACCATAGTTTTTACTGTGGGCTGCAGGGTAATCTGGTGCCTGAAGCACTTCCTTCCCTCCACTGACCTTGGTGCCTACAAGGTGTTTTTTCTCCCATACGCTTGTTCCTGTCTCCCTGCTGCTGTTGTGTAGCTGTGGTTTTTTAACCTTTCTTAAATATATGATCACAGAGGGCTTAAGCTTCAATCAGTACACGTCCCTCTTGGAGCCACCTGTCACTAGCTCTGTCTGATGTTTTCTGGTGTCTTTTCATAGAAGGCACCCCTGCAGCCCCCCACAACATCTTCACCTGTGAACCTAATACATTGACGTGCTGACAACAGGCAGAGGGTACCAGGCTTTGCAGTTACCTGGCTGTTGGCAAGGTGTCTCTGCTCTTTCTCTGAAGCAATAACTACACCAACTCTACCCCAGTTGCTGAAAGCTTTTTCTGTAGTTCTTCCTCAGTCAGAAGACCAAGCACAAAACTGTGGCATGAATAAGATTCTGATCAGGAGGTCTGGGGAGGCAGTGGGTGCTGTACTCAGTTTAGTTGAGCAGAGTTTGAACCATACAGTGGCATTCTTATTGTCAATGGGTGTTTCACACAAGTGAGAAGCACACCCAGCCAGATGCCTCCAGATTTGGTAAAGATCAACTCTATGAGCTTGAGGAACTTGAAAAAGTCTTGTGCAGAAGTCAGGGAAGCACATCCACATGAAATGCTATTTTTCCTCCTCTGGAGAGAAGGAGCTGAGATGGTATAGATTGGTAGAAAGTGAAGAATGCACGAGAGCTGCAAGAAGCTTTATCTCCACCTGCAGCTGGCAAAGACAAATTTTGACAGAGGCAAGTCTCCACAAGGTGGCAGTGACTGTCCGTGTTTATCCGTACACTTAGCCGCTGGCTCTGGGAATGCCTCGGGCTTTTCCCCCTCTGACAATGCGGTGGTGGTGGTCGTGGTATTTCTAGGTAATGGGCTGGAGGAGAATGCATGAGGGCTGGGTTCCTACTATTCAGGTGGCACCACCTGCCTGGCCCCCGTTAACGAGCATATGGGCTGGGGTAGATGTGGGTGGAGAAGCTAAGCATCAGGTCCAACTGCATTCACAGAGCAAATTTTAGACCAGGCTTGGGTAATCTTTCCGCTTGAGTTAGTACATGACATCTCCTCAAGGAAGATAGCAAGTCTGTTTTTTCACCTTTCTAACTAAACATAGATATGTTTAGTTCCTCAGAGAGAGGAGCCTGGGAGGGAGAGCAAAGGCACCATGAACAGTCCTTGGAACTGTGAAGCCTGCTGATAAGGAAAATGCAGTGGTGTTAGCACCATTTAGCTGAAGGCCTTTGGGGCCACCCTGCTTAGTAAGAAGCAGAGCCCAGCTAGTGATGAGGGGCTAAGGACAGGGATAGGCAGCATCTCCACACTCCGTAGGCAGCAGCCAGCAGCAAGGTAAGCTGTGAGGGACCTCCTTGGAGCTGGTGCTTTTAGCTAGGTATGGTGGAGATGAACAGCTACAGTCAGGAGTCACAGGAGCAAAGTAAGAACAAATGACCTCAGATATGTCTTGCTTATTTCAATACAGGCTGCATCAGAGATGCTGGGGGGTTTAAGGTTGGATTTGATTCAGCTAGAGAAGGGAGCTCACAGGAGAGGGGAGGCTGTGGTTGGGTTGTCCTGACCCCTACTCCAGCCACCCACCCTGGAGAGTCATGAGAGGAGCTCAGCAGGCAGCACTGCACTCCCAAGAATAGCACCATGGTTTCAGCAACCCACAGCTCTCCGCAGCAGTTCCCAGGGCTTCCTGAGGCTACCCCTGGTGTGGCAGGCCATGGTGAATGCCTCAGGCCTGGTCCCCACTGTGTCCTGAGCACAGGCAGGTTATTGCCACCAGCCCCAGTTGCATTGGCTTAGGAACAGGACACAAAAGTTGCAGTATTTATTAGACCAGAACACCTCTAATCTAGACCCTTTCATTTCATATGGGCAAGCAGAAGGTGCTAAGTGGTTAAACCACTACTCTAGAAATAATTATATGTACAAATTAACAGCTGTTTAGCCAACAGATGAGGAAGCCTGCAGCTGTTTACATTAAAATAAACTTTTCCTCTTGCTCTCATATATTATATCCTGAATGAACTGGGATCCTAAACATCCTCAGAGATCCCACTGTCAAGCCTACTTGCAAAGCATAACTTAGGTACAGGTACAGACATGGCCATGTGGACTGTAGAAAAGTAGTACATGAAGACCAGAAATGACCATCAGTGCAGCCCCAGCTGCAGGGCCATTGAGGAGTGGGCACTGCACGCTGGGCAGAGCTGACACCATTTTCACTTGTGCAGATGCATGCAATGGAGGACTGCTGCAGTTACCAGGAGGACCTAGCCCGAGGCACTCCCTTCCACTCCATCTGACAGCCAGTGGGACCATCCAGAGCTTGCACTTTCCCAGAAAGCCTTTAAGCTGAGCTGCAGTGACCATGTTAGGGGGAAGGTGATGGCAGCCTGTGTTTGCTGCCTACAAGTCTTGTGGAAGTGGCTGGAGGACAGGCTGGACAACCTGAGATGGTACCAATGCTCCGCCTAAAAGCAGACATAGTCATGTATGGGCAGAAGGGGCCTGTCCCAGCAACAGGCTGCACCTTTGCCCTCCACTGGGTGTTGGCACCTTGTTCAACTCCATTACACTGATCGTACTTTCAGGGTAAATTTTCCTGACTAGAGAAGAGAAATGGAGTTCTCATGACCTTCATCCTACCTTGCACCACTGACTCTTATTCCTATGACTGTCAAGGGAAAAAAATAATTTATTTAATAATCCCTTTTTATTTTTATCAATACATTGTGGAAAAAATCAGGTATCTCTCCATAAGCTTTAGCACTTTGAGGACAACCAAGCTCACGGTGAGAAACTACCACAGGACCTGCAGATAATGCTGGAAAATGATCCTAGTGTTGTTTTTCACATGGTGAGTGTTCCCAGTGCACATTAGAGAACTTGGATTTTTAAGGAGTAAATAGCTATAGTCCTCAGTGAAAATCAGGTTTGGGAGGGGGGTGTGGGTGTTTGCTTTTAATTGAAAAAACAATTGGTTTGGGGATAAAACAGCCTTGCAAAATGAGCTGCAATTCATGAAGCATGAAATCTATACACAGATATTGAGGGGGATGTACAGGTCAGTATTTTTTGAGAAAGAGGCTGAGCCAGGATTATTCTGATTGGCAAATCTTTCTGCTACTCTGACCAAGGGACAGGAACTCCATGTAGCTATTTTTAGCTCATTCCCAAATCATAACTTTGCTTTAAACAGGAGATTATTAATACACTGGACTTAATTCAGTATTTTAGGACTTGCAAGCCCTCTGAAAATTCCTCAATAAACAGCTGCCAGACTACAGCAGACCTCTACACAGTGGATCTGAAGCCTACTGACAATAAACTCTATCTTCTGCCTTACCACTTCCCATGCTGTGCAATAGTATCAATCAACAGATCTTTCTCAGAGGCCACCTGAAACCTATAGCACTGGAGCTAACCCAAACTGGCAATGGGTTCTCAGAAAAACACTATAAAAGAACCAGAACCTCTCCCCTACTTCTGCCAAGGTGTATTATTTCTCCAATGGATGGTCAACCTGTATTTTGGGACATGTTTTGTTCAGTCCATTCAGCAAGTATCAGTTGATCTACATCTTAGGTAAGTGATCTCTTCTTGTTGACAGAACATCTAATCCTAGCACTGCAAAGACATTTAAGACCACTTAGGATTTCTCATCACAGATAAATTATAAGACCTAAACATTAACCAAGTTACGCTCCACAGTGGTTGAAGGTGCATTGCCATCACCTTCAGTATTTCTCTGTATCCCATATCCCACCTTTGGGCTTTTTCAATATGTATCAAAGATATTTATTGTTGCTAAAATGTGTGTCTCCTTCGCTCAGCACCATGTGGGTCCTGGACAACATTTTAACACAGCTAGGGCCAGCATATTGATCTCCATTTCCAGGAAAGCCAGGATGAACACCCTGGCAAGGCCAGCTCTAAGCTTGCACACCAACAGCTAAATTACTCAAGGAAATAAGTGACCTACCCATATCACCTGTATTGTGAGATATGCTGGGATAAACAAATGCTTGTCATGTTTTACCAGCTGTTTTTACCACAAGGAATTAAAAGGAAGGCAACTCACAAACAGAACAAAAACACAAGCAAAGTATCCATTAATGGTTTTATTTTTGCTTTCCATAATTTCAGAATAACTGAGATACCTGTATTTCCTGATGAAAGTAAATAAAAACAAAAACAAAAAAAACCCAGCAAGTGAGAAACCTGGAAACATTCAGGTGTTGCTGCTCCTTGAAATCCCTTTTGCTGAGTTCTGGGCCAAAGTAATGGGTAAACATTAGTCATGAGATGTGCCAAGAGCTGGCAAAGCTTTTGGAATTGCTTTTCCTTTCTACAAGCCAATTCATAGGAAATGAAATGTTCAAGCCTCTGTAAATTCTGTTAAAGACCTGATAAAGTTCAGTAGTTTTAAGGTGCTTTTTTGGTGCAGCTTTGGGAAGCAACTTGAGTTCTTAGGAGCAAAGTGACAGTCGTATACTTAAGAGTTATTATCCCCATTATTAACAGAAGTTATCATCACCAAACATCCAGCAAAAAGACTGAAATATGCCTTTTGGTTAGTGAGTTAAAAGCACTTAACAGAATCACATCCTCCTGTGCCAGTCTCCCAGGAATATGTGACCTTCAGACTTTTACAACAGCTTTTCCAAGGTTTTCTCCCTTTAACATTCCAATAAAAGCCATTGGCATGTTCTCAAATCCTTCAGTGATGTGTTCATGGCACTTCACTTTTCCCTGTCAAACGTAAGAAAGGAAATTACTGAGTTTTCATTCACGAGCTGCCTATATTTTACCATCTTTAGGAAACTAAACTACAATAAAATTTTCTTCAGTTTCTATGTTTCATCTGAAACATGGAAGCTGGTTTACACCTGTGTAACTTTGCAAAACTAGGTAGACTGTTGTGAGGATCTGGTTTTGCTGAAAGACCTTCTCCTTGGAGTCATAACAGGGAGCAAAAGTCAGTTCTATAAAAACACCAGGACATATTTAGTGCTACTTGGTCCCCAAAAAAGGGACAGGTAGGGGATTAGTTCCCCAAAGGCAGGCGTGTCTCTCCCCATAGGAAATTATGCAATTGCAAATCCAAGTGATCAAAAGCTGACCCATCCCAAATCCTCATGTTTGTAAAAGCTAGAGGATCTTAGCATTCAATGTTCACAGTTACAAGCTTTGCACAGCCATGAATCAAGTGTTACACTCAGCCTCCATTCAAAAAAATAAAATGTAAGAATTTCCCTATTAAGTCCCTGTGAAACCTCAACTCCCGAGTTCACAAAAGCATCTGCTCTTTCTAGTAATTTGAGCACAACACTGCAATTAAAATAATTGCCAATACTACAAATGAAAGGAGACTTCTGAATGGGAAAGAGAGGAATTACTCTAAAGTATTAAACTCTTCATTGCCAGATAAGTGTTTTTAATTACTCTGGAAGCATCCTTTTTCAAAGCCCACAGGTATTCTGGAATGTATCTGAGTAATACCACGTCTCAACAAAGCAGAAGGGATCAGGCATGTTCCCTATGGTTTAAGTGTTCCCAAAAGGCTTGGTGATCAAGCCAGGTCGCAAAAAAAAGAACTACACCGAGACCTCATCTCAACGGCTATGACAGGAGACTCATTGAAAAGCCAGAAGCTAAGGTGTGAGTCCACCTTCCAGAAAACTACCACCCGCCCCCCCTCCTTCTTTACCTCCACGACCCATTTTAGCAGTGCCTTCAGACCTTCCTCCCGGCGGTTATTCCAGCGGCTCACAATAAACCCTTCCATTTGAAGCTCTTTGAAGAGCATGGGAATCTGAACATAAGGCCCTACAAGAGAAGGGAACCAGGAAACCACCTGCAGTATCAGTTTCATTTAAAACAAGACTCAATGCACAAAAAGAGCTTTTAGCCAGTAAAGACCACTGTACCACTTTGTTCCAGCCAGAAGCAACTGCTACATTTTCGAAACAGAATTTCCAGTATAAATGACCAGGGATTCACAGTCAGCCAGTCACCCAGGGAAACAAAGGCCTAATCTGTAAAGCTGTGGTGCTAAACACCCAACACTTCTGAAAACAGTTTAATTTATAAGTAAAGTCACTTCAGCTTCACCTGAGAGGCTTTAGCTGAAACCTGGGAACGCTGTTTTGTCAGCTTGTTTGATAGCCAGCCAAGGTCTCACGCTCATCCTAAATCTCAAAAAAGTTAGGCACGTTTATAAGAAGTTCCCTCATCACAAAAATGTTATAGTCTCCCCACTGTCCTATTTTTAAAATGGAGCCTAGGAATCCAAAGCGAGTTTGTTGTCAAGGAGAATTCAGACCTCCCATTTCTTCTAGAAGGCAAATCTGGAAAACTTCTTGAAAGTGAATATTAATCGCAACCGCAAATGCCAGCAGTTTCACCTCTAGATGAAATAATTGGGGGAAAAAAACAACCAAACAAACCCTAAGCTGCCTCATCGAAAACTCTGAGGGAAATCCATTCTGTCATCTCAAAGCATGTACTGTGTAAATGGCATCATGCCACCACACCTGTCATCTACTGATCTCTATCTGCTTAGAGCCCTGGGGAATCCTGTTTTAAGTAGTTTAGTCTCTCCTTCATTTCTAAGCAGCTAATGTTCACCATCCAATACAAATGTGTACAAAGGAGGATAAGTGCAGGTACGCACAAGGGCTGTGGTCTCACTCTGCTGTCCCAGAGCAGCAGTTGCCAAAATGTACACGCGTACATACACTCAAATCACATACAGGAAAAAAAAAACCCAACAAAACCAGTAACATCTCAAGAGACTCCCATTATGTCTTTCTCTCTGCCATCACCAAACAGGAAATAAATTTAGACACAAGAAAGCAGGCTCACACCTTTCTGAGGCACGGAGTCATTGTACTGAGAGATGGCTCCACAGATTGCAATCCTTCCATATTTCTTCATCTGGCTGATAGCAGTATAGGCAAATTCTCCACCCACCTACAAGAACCAAAGTATGTGCAGCGTGAGAGACAACCAGCGCTTGGTTTTGACTGCCAAACCTGCTGACCTTGCATTGTTGCACCAACTGGTTCAATGAAGGGTCGGAGAGGTGAGCTCCACTACTTGAAAGACTCAGTGACTACAGAAACCTTTACTCTTGGTCAGCAGCTATGAGAGCTCAATCTCACTCTTCTAAAAATTAGTTATCAACACAGGAAAACAGTTTCAATTCTGAACATGCTTCACAAAGCTTGGTTTGGAACTGTGGGACAGGACTTTCCCTTAGAAGGCTCTTCCTAACGGGCATATCTAGGGCCACTAAGAAGCAACACCCTGCTTTCCCCCTACACCAATCTGCACTTTTACCTCTTCACATCACAGTAATGTTTTTACTTCATGATTCTCATATCCCAAATAGGGATGTGCTGTTCTCAGAAACTTTTAACTGAGAAAAGCTGTGATAAAGTTTGCTGCTCAGGAGAGCTCTGTACAAAAGTTGTAAATAATAGGGAAGGGAACAGATGTGACCACAAAACCTATTTAAGATCTTGGCAGCAGGACATGAACTATAGAAGGGTAAGGCAAAGCAACCAGGATCTCCTCCACAGGGACAAGCACTTTGCCCTGCCACTATACATCTATCACATGGACTGCCAGGGCAAGGTGGATGTGTTGCAATTCACACAGAATGACAGTACTATCATCTGTGGATTGGCAGAGACACTGCTGAGCGAAAGACATGCAAAAGGGGTGAAGATGGCTGCCCTTTAAACTAGGTAGCTAGCCAGGGAGGTTTAGGCCAGTACCTCAGCTAATATCCCTCTGCCTGGTGTTGTATCAGGAGGTGTAATGCATACGTTAGCTATACACGGAAATTTAAAAAGTCAGGCCTTGTTCTCTGGCTTGAAGGTGAACTGACATGCTATGACTGCATCTGCACTGTTAAACTCTCAGCCTCCAAAACCAGACGGTCATATCCAGACAAGACTGTTGAGAACAGTTCACAGCCCCTGTTAACTTTAGCTGTACTTGGGAGAGGTCAGAAATGCCCTACAGGCCACTCTAGCAATTTTAAAAGTTGGTCTTGAGACTGTTTTGTTTACAGGTACCAGTGTAGCCACACGGACCATGTAATGTGGGGCAATCCACATGCAGTTTCCTTCTAGCAGGAGCAGAGAACCCCCTGTAGTCCAAGGTGGGGCCAGGAATGGAGCGCTCTCTGTTCAGCATCAGTTAAATGTTCACTCTGACCCTCAGCTTCCCAAAATGTGTCATAGTTTCCAGACAGTGAAGGTAAGCTTCTCTCCCTCTATTCACAAACATTGTCAACAACCGAGCTTAGCCTTTTGGTCCTTGTTCTTTCTGCTAGTGCCCAAGTCAGCTGCAGAAACTAAGTGTGGGAAGGGAACAAGAAAGCAGCTATCTCTTACAGAGACCATTTCTCAGTTAGATGGAACTCAATATTGAGTTCCTGGTGTAGTCTTCAATTAGATGTATACAATACTGAGTCCTTACTACAGTTTAAGGAAAATGACAGTCTGATCAGGGCAAGGCCCCCACTCTAAACTCACATTGTCAAAGAAACAGTCATAGCCATCAGGAGAGGCTTTACGCAGTGCTTCATCCAGAGATGTAACAGTCTTGTAATTAAAGGCTTCATCAAAGCCTATTTTTTTCAGATAGGCAACCTTGTCATCTGAGCCAGCACAGCCAACCACTTTGCAACCCTGCAAAGAAAGGAGAAAACATTTCCAAACATCCTCTCACAACACAGGCTAACATAGACAAGAGTGCTGGGTGGAGGGATAACCCTTGAAAACAGGCTGTTGTCACTACAGAAGTTCCTAAGCTGTAAAAAACATTCAACTAGCTTTGCTACATCTTCAGGAGCTTGTCCCATCTGAAGATCTCAAGACCTTACTGTAGGCATGGTTTCAGGGACACTTGCCTTTTTGATCATTCACAGTCTTGTCTTCCAGGTGAGCCTTCAGAGAAGCAAGGACAAGCAGTTCAAGCTACTCACCCCAATTTTAGCGAGCTGCCCCACCACTGAGCCCACAGCACCTGCTGCAGCATTAACCAGCACAGTATCTCCTGGCTTCATCTTGCAGACCTCCAGCAGGCCAAAATATGCAGTGAGGCTGTGAAGAAAATTAAGAATGCTCAGTGAGTAATAAAAGACCAGACAGAGATGTGACCTGACCACACTGAACCAAAATATCATCACAGCCAGAACAAGATTCAGTTTTCCTTATTCTTTATGAAACACAGAAATTAAAACAAACTTCTTGTTTTGGCTTAATCTTTTTGTTGAGTTTTTTTTATAGCTATCCCAGAAAAATACAGATACACTACTCAGAAACAGGATGCTGTGGCAGAAGTTTGCCTTTGGTGAAAGAAACTTTCCTTATGCTCACTAGCTGAAAGGAGAAACACGGATGCAACTCTGTAAGGTGACAACTCAGTTATCCACTGGAAGAGACATTAAATCCAAGCTAGACAGAGGTCAGTAGCCAGCTGGTATTTACCAGGTTCAGGCAAAGATTAAACAATAGTCATCACCAATCAAAGCTGGCAGAAAAAGAAAAAAAAAATGGTGGCAAAACCTTGCTGATCTGATAGGCACACTGCTCCTGAGGACTACTGTGTACAGCTATGGCTACTGGGTGAATAATAACCAGGAGGAATCACTAAAGTTTAGCTCAAGTATGTTCTGCGGCTCATATAAACATTAAATCAATGTGATCAACTGGCCCAGAATCCCAACAAACTTTTCTTCTAACTTCTAAATTCAAGCTTAGAGCTTCTTTCTTGGTCCAATCTGAAAGGGTGAACAGAATTCATCTAGCAGCTGCCTGGAAAAACACGCATTTTGCCTGAAGTAAAAATGAAATCTGGTAAGTTCTACATCACACTGAACGTTACATTCATTCTGAAAGCCATCAACAGGATGTTGAAAACAGACCTGTGTCAACAGGACTGACCAAGTCCTAATTTCCCTTACAAACTACAGAGAAAGAAAGAAGATGACGGAAAAACTGCAATAGTGAATACAGTCTGCTGCAGTGCAATTCAAAGGGCCTCTGTTCTGCTGCATGATATGATAGGTGTCATTTGCCATTTTGGGGGTAATTCTGGAAATATGGTGATAGCAGTAGAGTCAAATGAGCAAAAGCAGACGAGTTCAGGTGCCTGTGAAGTTTGAGTCTTTCCACTGAAGTTAATTCAGATTGAACTAGATTCTTTCCAGTTTCTCCTAGATCCTCTTCCTACCTTACTACAACTCTTCAAGGAGAAGCACCATAACCTCCAAGGCAAATCGCCTCTGATCTAGAGGATGGGCCAAACTTCAGGCCCTCTATAGGGTAAGGGCAAGCGCAAGCACACATTTTTTTACCAAAGTGAGCACACAATATGCTGGTAGCACAAAATGGGGGGAAAAGGTCACATAGATAGTCAGAAACATCCTGCTCAGCAAAATCTGGAGAACAGTTGCCTTTGCATCTTAGAACTGACCCTGGCATGCCAACTGTTCCAAGAGCCAGAGATTTGGAGAGTGATTCTGGCCAACCGGCAGGAAGGAGGTGTAGGTCTTTCCCATCAGAGATGAAATGAGTTCTCCAGCCACTTCCAGCCACGACAAAGGCCCCCACTGAGAAAGCAGGATTCTTACTTTCTACAACCCTGTTTCGAAGAAGAAAAAAAATAATATTGTGTCAGAGACAAATTATTACTAGCTCTTCCCTCCTTTATTCCTGTTACCTTGTGATGTAGGAGAAAATAAATATTTTACATCAGGATATTTATCCCATACCTGCTGATGCTGTAGGCTTCTGATGTCTTCCTGAAATATCTGTAATCTCTCATCACCAGAGGAATATTGGGCAAGATTATTCTAGAATCAGCCCTGCCCACAACAAATATATTCCCACATGGATGCCAACTTTTTTTTTTACTAGACCAGTCTGCTATGAATTCAGACTTTTGTGTGTTAGCAGGGTGGAAAGATGATGCTGGGATTTAAGAGCAGAAAAACAAGAAGTCACAGACGTAACAAGCAGTTCCCTTCTCAAACAACTTGCACCTCATTTAAATGTTGAAGATCCTGAAGATGGAACCTCTTGGGGTAACAAAATCAGACAGAAAGAAGTATCTAATAACAGTTCATACCTGCAGTGTCTCTATGTCAAATGAAAATTGCACTTTCTTAGCCCAATGGGAAAACTACATGGGGAAGGGGCAGGTAACCAGCTTTGAAATACTGTAAGCAGTTGGCCTTCAGTTCAGCAGACTTGGTTATTAATTTATCCCAGCCCTCAGTGTTCCTGCAGAGAAAAGCAAGACTCAAAGGCCACAGATATTCCTGGACAGCAATTTAGAGGCAGCACAGCAGGAACAAGCTGTCAAAGGGAAGCATCTGTGTAGCTAATTTGTCACAGGCTTGGGACAATTAGGTTAGATAACCCTCTGGCTACAGCTGTATCTTAGGTAATGCTGAGGTAGTCTCAGCTGGAGTAGATAGTATGCATGGTTTTGGGCATGCAGTGGGCATATCAGATTTTAAAATGTGAAGTTCACACTTATAGCAGGTACAATGGTTGGGCCTTCATACCTCTGTTTCTAAAAACTTCCTTTTAAAACATTATTACCAGAAATAACATGTAGATTGTATTAGAGGCCTAAATACTCCCCAAGAAGGCAAAAGAGGTTCTTAGAGGAAAACCACATTTCAACCAACTACAGATAAGAACACAGTTGCAGAAGTATGTAGAGTCAAGTCAAGAATAGCTAATGCAGGCTGCAGACGTCTCGAATGTCTGTATACTCCTTTAAGGTCTGCCATGTGTAAGGATAAAAAAACCCAGAGATCTTACCTGGCAACCTGTGTGCCTATCATTATGTCCCCTTCCTTCATGTCCCTTTGGCTGTAAGGTCTGTAAAACAGGCAGAGATGGCTTACTGTGAGCAACTTTAATGATGCTCCAGATATGCTACAAAGTAGTTGCTACTGTCTGATCAAAAAGAGAGCACAGGCAGTGATGTTGAACAGATCACAAAGAGCTTGTGATTGTAATGACATAACTGGATGTCTTCCGTAGTCAGCTATCTTAGCATTCCATTGTGATCAAATACTGGGCTAGAGTGTTGGGGACACAAGAGCATTAATCTTCCCAGCATGATCCACCACAAAAAGCTGAGACTCCAAAAAACTATCTCGGACACTAGGGTCTACCAGGCTTCTACAAAGTACCCAGTGTCCCTGTGCTTGGACCTATTAACACGGGCATATCAGCCATTTCCGACTTAGAATATGTATCCTTAAGTACAAGTTTGCTAAGATAAGTGAAGTGCTACTGCAACAGGTCCACAGTCTCATTTGAGTCTGTTGCAATTCAGTGGAAGAGCTACGACAAGAAACAACAAGAAAGCTCAAGAAAACTCTAGGGCTCCAGCATCATTATCCTAACATCTGGTTGAATCTGACACAGCTCCATATTGGGAGTCTTGTTATTTATATACATTTTATAAAAAGCAGACAAAGGCACCTGGGACTCTGGCAACAACGGGTGATGTGCTCACAGCATATGTTATTTTGAGGTTTAAGTCAGAGATCAAATGATCTTAGCTAGAAATTTAAAAAGAAGAAAAATATATACCTCATGTAAGGATCAACACTGAGAAACACTGATTCAAGCAGCAATTCTGCAATAAAAGACAAAGCAAATTCCTGGGCATTAGCAGTGCAGTAAAGCATACTTTCCACAAGCCAGTCTTTAAGCAAAAGCAATAGGAACTCCTGTCAGCTCAAAAACCCCATGTATCATGATCCTTTAGGGAAAAACCGCCATAAGAAAGTACTACATTAGCTTTGTCTGGATTATCGTTGTGCTATTACAAAAGACACTTTCTGTAGTGTCTCTTTAGGAGGCTAGGTTCTTTTCAATGCACTTTATCTGCTTCCTCTCTAGAGGTGGCTCAAGAGGCCAGAACACATAAGCAAAATATACTGACTTACTTTCAACCCATATAAAATGCCTTCTCATGATTCAACCACCAGCAGCTAGAAAGAAACCACAGGTCAAAGACAAACACTGCTTTGCTGGCTTAAACACCTGACTGTCTCTAAGCCCACTAGTTCTTGTGAAATATACTGTTAAACAAATTTTAATTTAAATTATCATTCAGGCAGCAATTTTAGCTGTTCATCTCCACCTACCACCTTCTCCAGCTTTCTCCAAAGGATTTTGCAAAATAAAGTAGATTCAAACTTTTCACCAGTAAAGCCTGTTTGGGTTTTACTAGTTATCTCATTGTTGTGTGTCACAGTTCAATTATTTCTTTCTAAGTTAAACAAATTGTCTGTATTTTGGACTCTCATTTGCAAACACATTTCAATGCCTTTGCTATCAGGCACCACATGTGATTAGGCAGTGTGAGACTGTGAAAGGCATACCACAGCTGCTACGTGCTGGATTTCAACTGCTCAGGCAGTTTCTAGAGGTATCATCAGAAGGCAGCATGTCTTAAAACCCACCAAACCATAAGCATACATGTTCTTCAGCAACTGCCCTTCTCTGCTAAGGTGCATGGCTTGCCACAGGCCATGGCAAAACATACTCTAAAACCCAAGCCAGATTCTACAGATGCAGCCACTTGTCAGACAACCCCTGAATAAAATAAAAACAGGTGGCACTCCACTTACCTCCATCCTTTAGGTTTGGGAGCTCTATCTTTTTCAGTTCAAAGTCACTGGTTTTGGGGAAACCCTCAAAATGCTTCTTCAGAACCCACACCCTGGCAGTCACCATCCTGCACAACAAACAGCACAGCCAAAGATGACCCATCAAAGAGAAACCCAACAGTGCTGGACTGCTCATGAAAGCTGGCTAAGCCTTAATGAAGCAGAGTGGTATCTTGATAAAGTGCCACCACACAAGACAGCCTTTGTTGGCATCCTGTGGCAATTATCATCAGATCAAGAAACTGTGTTAAAAGCCCCCTGATTGCCTAAGCAACCCTGAGCTTCTTGCAACCTGCCAGACCTCCCTGTCTGCTGCCTGCAAGCCCTGATGTGGGAAGTCAGCTCCAGAAAGATGTACAGCTCCCACTCTGAAGAAACTGGAGAGGGAAAATCTACCTGTTTAGCTTATGTCAGTTATGGAGAAAAAAAAGTCCTGGAAGGGAAAAAAAAAATCCACCAGTTAAACTCCCTCTTTTGCTCCAATTACATGAGGTGAATACTGATCAAAACTTACACAGCTTAACAACTCTTACAAACTTGAACCAAAGTGCAAGTGAGAAATACAAAGGTAAGGAAGACATATGTTGAAAGACAATGCTTCTCAGTTGCCAAGTTCCAGGCTTGGAACTGGGAGCATATTGTCAGCAGCATTGTCCATACAAGATGGAAACAAATAACTTGCCTTCATATTACCCTCACAGTCCCCTTTTCCTTTCTATAAACAAGAAAATCCACAAGGGCAAAGAAAGAGAAATTTATACTTAGAGCAGGCAGGTGGAAAACTGTGTCTTCTACTGTCAAGGTCAGTCAATAACGTTCTGCACCGGATTCCGTCTGTGTTGGACTCCTTCAATCACACACCTCCTAAAAGGTGAAGACATGTGCTTTTATCAACAGAGCAGGTACCGCCCTTAGTCCACCTTCCCATGAGCCACTGTAACACCTCAGTAAAGCTGGCACAGGGCACACCCAATGTCAGCCACCTTTCTCCTACTAAGATCTGAGATCATCCTTACTGACGGCTCCAATTCAGCACGCAGCCGGTTGCACAGAAATGTTCTCCAACACGATAAGATAAATACACAAAACTCACAGTCCTAGAAACCACAAAATACTGCAGTCTGGGGACCAAGACTGTTCCACAGAGCAGGAAATTCTTCAAATCACATTTTACCACTCCGGCCCTAAAACTCTTTAAGAGTTCTGCTACTGGGGAAAAAAGTCTAATTAAAAACTATTATAAACTTCATGGTTCCATTATTTAACACTGCAAATGATCCATATGTATGCCACTATGATAGGGGAACACTATGATGCCATTAACATGGTGAGATGTCTCCAAGCTCTCAAAAGACATCTGTACTCAAGTGCGTGTTCTGACATCTTCACTGCTCCCAGTGAAGGGATCTAAAGGATTAGAGCTTGCATGGCTATGCCTCCTGCATACTGGGATCTGCGTGCATTGCAGAGCCACCTTAAGAAAGTGTAGCAAGCTCTGGCAGTTTGCCTCAGCTGTGTTGCAACAAAGCATACCTCAGGAAGAAAACTTTGTCCATGGACTGTCTGCCCTCAGCTTTCATTTTTCTTGTGAAAAATATTACATTAGAATTGTCCTGAAAGTGGGGCCCGTTACCCAGTGTGAAAGGGGCCAATCTACACAGAGTCAAGAGATTTGCTTTAATATCCAGTTCTGAGCAGAACAGAGCAGGCGGGTGTTCCACAAAGCAAGCCCAGTTTCCTAAAACACAAGTGCTACTTTTATAGCCAAAAACCGGAGAATGAACTTTAACGTTATTCTATCACTGGCACACACGATGGGCCACTAATCCCTCGCTTCCATTTCCAGTGGCAATGCTCAGGAATTTCTCTGCCCGTGCTCAAAGAGTGAGGGGCTTGTTGTTAGCAGGGGTCCCTCTACCCCTTGGTGTGAATTTCAGTATGCTAATGGCTCATTAATATATCAATACAGTGATTTCAATTACTCAGTGGTTTTTTCCCCAGTGCTCAAGGCTGTAAGCAAGACAAGCTGTGGGCAGTGCTCCTGTCCATCCTTTTCATCTGTCCTGCAGGCCTGTCTCAAGGCTGGGCTGGTGACTGCTTGGGGCATGTTTTTCCCAAATCTGAATCTGGTTTTGTATAATTCTTACTGTTTCACTGTTATCTAGGCCATGTTTTTATTCTGTGTGTCCCCTATGTTCTCTTTTATGTGATTTTATTTTTTTCCCAAATATTATTTTCTTCCCCAAATTTCACTTATTTCAATTAATAACTGACATCAATATGGAGAGTGGAAAGTGTAAGGAGACCCATATGTTTAACTACAAAGTAGCTGCAGACAAAAGTACTAATTAGGAAGAGAGACCTGAGAAAGTAATTTTTAAAACCCTGAACTTTTAAAAGACACACAAGCAAGGACCAGGGAGCACAGGGCAAGTTCTCCATTATTTAGATAAAAGCAAAAGCCACCACACTCAGAAGCTCATCAGCACCCAGAAACTTCCTATGATGAGTCAAGGATATTCCTGGTCACTCAGCAAGAAATTAACACAGCACAGGCAAAGTGTTCCTACATTAGGAGCATGTTCTGGAAAAATCGCCTGTATCAGGACATAGGTCTTTCACAAAATGAAATTAGTATAATCAAGCTCACTGTCAAAGCTTCCTGCATTCATTAAGTGGGCAGCCAAATCACAAGAACGAAGACCACAGAAAACTTACCTGCAGGAATTGCCATCTGACCTGCAAATGTTTTTTCTTAAAAAGAAAATAAATTGTATTTGCTATGTTATAAATGGTGCCAGCCTGTACTTTTCAATACCAAAAGATCTTGTGACATTGCAACAAGAATAAAGCAAACTCAGCAAAGGGGCTTACAGGAACAAAAGGTGATTTCAGAGTAACACATAACTAATTCCACTCACTTGCTCATAGCCACAAGCACTAAGAGGTGTTTCCACAAGTACCCAAGTGCTCCAGCCAGGAGTGGTGGATGGGGACAATGCTGGCCAGGTTGACAGCCATGGGTTGACTTGTACCCCTGAGCAGCAAACAGTGACTCAGAAATGCTTTGTCTCCCATCCTGTCCCACCTCTTCGAGCCATCAATTCTGAGTGAGGCATGCTTTTTGTCCCTTTTGTCTGTGTGCCTCCATGTTCCAGCCCTGTTCTTTACATTCCCACAATTATCTCTTCATAGCTTGATTATTCAGTTTAGCCTGAATACAAGAACATGTACTCCCTTGCTTTAAAGTGTCCTTTTGTTTTCCCTTTCTGGTTCTCTAAGAAGCTGCACAAAGACTGTAATCCTGGTGATCTGTAAATCTAGGTGCCTCAGTATTGGCCATTGCTCTTTTCTGCCATTCCCTCTGGTCCTTCCACAATCAGACCTCCCATTCACACGAATTTTAACATTCATATCAATAATTTACTTTTGTGCTACACAAATTTTTCAGAAGAACAATGATCCCTCTCACAAACAATACTGAAACATTAATTTCACTGAACCCTTTTTTTTTTTTTTTTTAGTTTAGGCCTGACTTCAGGAACAGGACAATTTTTCACTTCTCACCTTCTAATGAAATTGCATTATTACAGTCATTGCAAAGCTAGCCATGTTTTCTTTAGGCTGTAGAACAAAAAGCTCCAAATCAACCCAACAGAAAACAGAACACAGACACATGCTTAATGAATAGATTCACAAGCCAATTTCCAGGTTAACAGGCCATCGTTATCTTGTATGTTCAGATAAAAAAATCATATGAACTGTTAAGAATTATATTGCTTAAGCACATTAAAGAACACTAAATCTGTGATTCTACATTTGTGGGGTCCAGTAAAAGCATTACCAGACTAAGGATGTGATAGCCACTCTCTCAGCTCTAAGATTAGTAACCATTGCATTACTTTGTTGTCAGTGTCAGTGGACTTGAATAATACATTTATTTTGTGTGTTTTTTGTATAAAATTGTTGTAAAAATAGTAATAAAAAGTAGGAAACTGAAGAGCAGTGTTTCTCATATGTTCTGCAGCTCAGGATTCAGTTTTCTAATGTTTGTAACCAACTATAGCTAGGAACAAAGGCATAGTTGCTTAGTTTTAGTATAGGAGTATTGTACTGCTAAGATTTGTAACTCGAACAGAATGTTGCAGATGAAATCTGAAATGAGGCCAGAGAAGGTCCTTATTTCTGTGTTCTTTAAGTGAACTTGGCTCATTATATTACAGTTTAAATTACCTGCCTCCTCTTGAAACCCCTCACCCTCTGAACATGAGTATTTTAATAAGTAGATACTGTAACTTTAAACAAAAGTGAGAAATAAAATTAACCAATGCATCATATTCTGATAAAATACTAACCAATAGTTGAGAACAGAGGTGTCTGTTTACGTAGTCAAAATCAGATAAATACAGTTTCTGGTTGTAACTAGGGCATGCTGACCACTTTAGATCCCTGGCACACTTTTTTTGCGCAGGACTGTAATAAATCACAATATCCTGTGTGTTGATTGGCTCTTTGAAGATCAGTTTGCTGGCATCTACTATGGGATCCCAGTTGTCACCTGGTCCTTCTTCTCTCCCATTTTCCCCTTAATTATGGACTTGCTTCCCTGGTTAGACCTTGGGGTTTGAGCTCTGATAACCTGTATGAAGGTGGTTTGTTTGCAGCTCTACTACACTTTGCACCAACTGCAGTGACTGGACACAGACTGGATCTTTGCTTTCTTACTTACATTAATCATCTTAGAAGCCTGCCATTTATAAATAAGTTCAATTCAAATTTGGGCTTAGTCTAACAGTTCCTCTTGCTTCCAGTTACAATTAAGGTGCAGATATGGCTGTGGTACTTCTATCAAGCAGGAACAGGTATCCTCCCAGTTACTCTGGAAGAAAAGGGTACGATTAAAAGCTGAGTAAAGTATCTCTCTCAGACATATCTGAACTGAGGAAAAAAACGGATCACCACAATGGCAAAGTTGTTCAGGAAATCATAATCTCATCTAGTCCCTTCCTCCAGATCATGTTTTTCCAGATTAAGTATCCTGCAGTATTTCAAAGTAATCTGCCAGGCATCAGCATAAGGACTGGATACTTCAAAAACCCACCAACTAACCAACCAAACTTAAAAGGACTTCTTGGCAGTAGAAACTGATAAAGGAGTCTTAATCCAGAGGCTACCTTGGGATTCCCCACACATTGTAGGATTACCAATTACCTGGAAGTGAATAAGGCCTCAAATCATAAGCACCTGCAAGTCTCAGCAAAAATTGCCTATTCCTGCTCTCTGGTTTAGCTATTACAATGCTTTATTAAAAATATATTTTTTTTTTCTGTAGTGAAAACAGAGGTAAAGGCAAACCACTCCCACCCTACTTCTGGCAAACAGTATATTGCAAATACCTGAGCAAGCATGACACTTCATTATGAAACAATAAAGCTACAACTTCACCTATCTATGTAATCCTAACAGGCCCTGGAAGGAGCTCAAAGATTGGATATGAGTTGTCATGACTTGGTAGAAATACAGTGCCACCCCGTACTTTGCTACAGGGCTGTAACTCCAAAAGAGGTTGCAATAGTCTTGCAGAGCAAGCTCACACAGGTAGGGGAAAAGGCAAGGCTCCGCTGAAACAGGTCAGCTCTCAGAAATTGCACATGAGGAGAACCTTAAGAACTACATCTGATAAAAAGAATAAGCAAAAAGCCCACTGTCAGGAAGGAAGACAGGACACTACAGGTTATCAGGGTTGACAAACCAAACCCTAATTTCTTGAAGGGTCAGCTGTGATTTCTTGGGCAC